AGCAGGGAGCAATAGCGCGGGTCGGGAACCATGGCAGTGGTCCAGACAGGGTTCTCGCGGTACTGCTCTATGCAACGGGTGAGGGCTGGGGTCGGGCCGAACCAACGACGAAACTCCACAGGCCCATCACACTCATACAGGGTGTGAAACACGGGGTCAGAAGGGACGACCTGGCAAATGGGGCACATAGGTTTAAAGTATATGCCCCCAGCTATAAAAGTCCTCAAAGCACGTTGCTGGAGGACACCCCATCCTTCAGTCTTCTTAGACAAAAGGGAAAGAAGAGGGGGGAGGAAAGGGGGTCCAGACAGGTGACTGAAGGATGGGTGACGCTCAGAGGCCTGTTTCCAGGACCAGACAGACGCGCCGCGAATCACTAGTGCCACCACCTCACGAGGGGAAGTAGACGAAATATCAACATCGGTTCCAAGAGAAGTTCGCCATATTGTGGGCGAAACCGCAGACCACCCAATTCTACGCATAGTGGCAACCAAGATCTGTCCTGGGCCCTGCAATTCAGTCCACGGGGTATCTGGCGTCACCTTGGCGTCGGCAAACTGGAAAACTTGGTCTATCATTCCGACAGGAAGAAGAGAGTCCCATCTAGAGACAGCCCAGAGACGAATAACCTCAGCATGTGCATCGATAGCAGGATCGGTAACACCATGCGACGCCAAATCCATCGTGGCAGACCTGCGCTTACCTGTGCCGAGACCAGCGTGGTATATAGCACGGGCCTGGCGAATCTGGTGAGTAGATAGACCGACGACGTCAATGCCGTACATGACAGTGGGCCGCAAGTTAGTGTTTACAATACCTGCAACTTTTGCACCAGCCTTCTTTATCTTCAATAGGCGTCGGGCCTTAAACCCCGCCTTTTTCAATCGACCAGTAAGAACAGGACGAGAACGACGCCCCTGACGTAACTGGTAGTCAATCCCGAGGTTTCGACACGAGAACTTGACTGCACCAGCGAGACGTGGAGTTTCAGCTGCAATGCTCTGAGCCAACTGGGGATCAGTAGCCAAGGGCACGATTTCTTTTCGGAGAGCGGTAAACATGCCGAGAGAGTAAGCTTGCTCATCAAAAGGTGCGACGCATCGGGAC